GAGGAGTTCCTGAAGTGGTATGGCGCCATGTTCCCCCAAGGCTGGCGCCCAGAGTCCGGTCGGAGGTATGCCTGGATTTGGCTGGCATGTGGCTGGAACAACCATGGCTTGAGTGCTTGTGTACATTGTTTATGAGCTACGTCATGAGGTGCTGTATGCAAGGCTTGCCTGACAAGGACGCCCTCTACCTCACCCTTTCAAGAGATGAGTGACAAGGCTTCACCCGGCCTGTGTTTGTGTGATTTACAATATGCCAGTTATGAGCCTGTCCTGAACGATGACGGAGGATTCCGCTTCCCTCTTGTGGATTTGCTTGTTTCAGGTCGGACAATATAAGAGGTCCCACCAGCTCAAATCACTACTCCCCACGGGAAACTGGGTTCTACCACCACAATGTTGCCACTTGCCTAGGGCGAGGTGGAAATGCGAAAAGACGATTGCACATTCCCACTGCTTCGCGCAGGTCTGACAAGATAAGCACCGAGCCGATCTCGGCGCTGCCCCGTCGGAATCCAGCGGGCGCATTCGCACGGTGCGGCCGGGCGAATGCAGAAGATGCGTCCAGACTCCCGTGGGTCGTGCTCAGTCCTATCCATTGGGCCTAGTGCCAGGTTTGCCCTGGACGTGGGTTTCCGCATGCTGGAATGTTTTTCTGGGCAAAAGGACGCACCCTTTGCGGCAAATTCCTCGCGCGCGCGAGCGCGTCGGAGCACCTGACGCAGTCCTGGCTCGCGACGGGAGGTGAGTTCCTCTCCCGCACATGTGCCTGGAACCCAATGAAGGGTCCCCCATAAATGGAGATGCGTAACAAACATGGTGTTCCATCCATCTTGCAGGAATGCAGGGTAAGCTTGGCTTTCCAGGATGATCCCAGGACCCTACTTCAGGTGAGCGACAATCAACACACAGTCACCTTGCCAGAAAAAGGTGCAGCCGCCCCGTTGATTCTCTCGTAGTTTTGAGCAAACTTTGCGAGACCGGACACATCAAGGGGTTGGCATGGGTTTGCGACTATCACTTCCTTTCCTGGGTGTGTCACTCACTAAATTTCAGCTTGGTGGCTGATATAGCTATGAGTTTAATAGGGAACCACCTCAAAAAGTGGTCGGCGGACATGAATCTCCTAAATGATGTCCACCAAATTCCTGCCCATATTTCGATGTCAAGACATATTAATTATGTCAAGAACCTCCGTGTCAGGAGCCAGGTTTCTTCCGAGAGACCGAGAGAGCCGGACATGGACATGGGTGGCTGGGCACCCCGTATGTGCGTTTTGCCCCTTGGTTGGGGAAGGTTCTGGCGACTGCACAAGTGCCCTTTACTTCTCATTTTGTGAGGGGGTGTCTCTTCAAGGCCAACAACGTAGAAAAATCGGGTGCACGGGGCGCACAATATGGATACCCTTTCATAGACAGGTGCCAAATGCTCGGAACGGCAGCTGTGGCCGAAACGGGTTTCGAGCTCGTGTGGGAGGGCCGGAATATAGACCCTTGAAGTTGGGTTCGGGACCCGTGAGAGATGACCATCCGGCGAAAAGGCGTCCAATTCTTGTTCTATCAGATTCACCGAACTGGGCTTAGGCTACCTTCCGAGAGGGTTCCCAGCTGGAATCCCTTTCAAACACGTGTCATATACAGATAAACAACTACCACTTTGGTATTGCCGAAATGGGCCTTCCCACAACCATCGGTGGCACTTTTTTTTTGGAGGCTACCGAGCGCTTTCAATGGCTGGCTCGTTGGCGACTGACCTCACCGCTTTTTTTCCGTTGCGGCGCGACATTTGCAGTGGCCATGGTTCCGCACATTGGGCATATGTTTAGCGACCTCGTGGGTTTTGCTTTGCTGTTCTCGTAGTTCACCCTCATAGCTCACCCAGACTTATTGTGAAGTGAAGAGTTTGAACCCGGCATGTGCCTGCCATTATTGGTATCTGTATTTGTAGGCCTGGATACTCATGTCGAACATGACAGCAACCTCACAAACACAAACGAGGGGTTGCAACCTTACCCATGATATTCTGATATTCTTATGTTTGGGCGTTTTCATGATTCCCGGATAAATTTCAACGATCTCATTTGGGGCTTCTTTTGATGTTGGAGAAGGCAGCGTGTCCCTATGTGGCAAATGTCTTCCAGAGTTTGTCGCCCTTTTTCTGCCCATTCAACTCGGCAGAGTAGCCTAGAGATGAGCCCGGGTTTTCCTCCACCCCTGGCTCCAAAGGTCGTTTGGAGCATTTCAGAATACGCCTGCGCCTTGTGCGCTGGCTATTTGGTGCACACGCTCTGGCAGTTTACGGGTTATATAAGGCCCCACTGTGAGAACATGTGTAAATGTATAGTGTATTTATATAATATACACCTAGCAGCATACAACTATAGTAGCTATAGCCGTAACGTTAGATTTATACAAGGAGTCATGCTTGGATACGTCATCGTACTTACATGCATGCATAGGTCATATGACCATTTTGCCTTTTGCGCCTCTTCAATGAGCCAGGGGTGCGCACCTGGCGGTTTTTCAACGGCGGGTGGCCGTCCGGTCGGTGACTGAACTCAAACCGATGCAAGGGTATACTTCCAGGAAGGGTTGGCAAATCGCTGAAATTTGGAGAGTCACCGAAACCATCAGCCCTTGAGCTGAGGGGGGCATCCGCACTTATGTTTATGGCACGTGCCTGACCTGTCCTACAGCCTTCATGGCTTGCATAGTTTGGGGCGGCAGGTGATGTCGCGACTTGTGTTGGCCTTCAGAATTTCGGGCGAAGCCCATAGGCAGTGGGCATGGTTCCAGCAGTCGCTCAAAAAAGCGGCATGCGTCCTGACGAGGCATCCGTCCAACGAACGTTCAGCTTGAGTATGACTGGGACCTCTTTGACATCATCTTACATTGGAAGGTCCACATATTAGGGCTGGAAATCAAGAATATTTTTGGGTCGGGGCATTCGGGGCAAAAGGCTGGGCGATCTGTTGACAGCAATCATGCTGCTGCTTGATAGGAGGCCCCTCGGCAGACAATTCGGTTCCACAAACTTATTTCTGCGGACGAAGATGAGAGTGTGCTGGCACAGCGAACGAGAGGAGGGCATGCAATACCGATGGCTGTTTTTTGTGCGGGAGCCTCGGTCTGAACGCGTCAGGACACTCCTGGCCCTTGCAAAAATGCAAAAGGGTCCAGTACCAAGTTCTACAAGCCGCTTTCGCGGCAGTTTCCCTGCTGTCTTTGCTGAGGGCCTAAGGTTGCAGTCACGTTGGAGACTGGGCCAAAAGGACAGGAAACTGAAGCAGGGACCCTTAGTAGAGGTGGCCGCCTTTCGTTCTCTTTTTGATCCAGGGGTTGTTTGGTTAGGGTTCAAGTGCAGTGTTGAAATCTGGATCGGGGGGCATGTGCTGTAGACTTCACGGATACCTTCTTGGCTCACTCACGCAAAGCCAGCCCTTCCTGAAATCATGGGTAGCAAAACCCTTAGCTCTCTCTTGCTTTCCGTTTGAAGCCATCTTTACTAGAACCAACATTTAAAGTGCTTACGCGGCCTGTTTTTCCTCATCCTAAAATGAGTGGCTTCCGCTTTTTATGCTTTGGTCCCGTGTCCACAAAGCCAGGGTCAACAAAAGGGCCCCCCCTTGGGACGTCAGTTGAAGTGCCCAGACTCCGCTGACCTGCCACCAGTTCCACCGACGGGAGTTCCGACCCCTTCTCGAAGAAGCCGAGGCTCTGGGAGAGCTCTTGGCGAGGTGTTCAACCACTGTGATGGGGAACTCCCTCGTAAGATAGAAATCCCTATCCGCAAAGAGATTTCGCCGTTTTTCCCCATGATCACAGAAGTGGTTGCGTTGCCCGCAGCCTTGTCCTTGGGAGGCTCCAGTCCTTGTCTTGTTTACCCCTTCTTGTTTTGTGCTTCTCTAGTATTGTTGGTGTTGTTCGTTTTCAGTGGTTTCCCCAGAGTGAAGGGTCGATTTTGCCCCGCGGTTCAACATGCTCCGGTGCCTGCGTTTTCAAAGCACTCCGGACCGCCACCGAAGGTGGCCTGTTGCCTCGCGGCACTGAACAAAATATATGGCGCGACTCTGCGGCCAGGGGAATGAAGGGAGGGGGGGGCCGCAAAAAAGCAAAAAAGGAGGAAAGGGGAAAGGGGCAAGGGCCTGAAAGGGGAAGAAAGGGGCTGCAAGAAAAGGAGCCAAGCAATCCAGGCTGCAGGTTGATTGTTGGAGCACCCTCAAAGAGGGTGGACATTTGCCAAATAAGGCATGGTTGAAGGACCCTCAATCACAATTCATACCCTGTTGGGAAAATGGCTCTTTGGTTCCCAAGCTAGTACACTTCAACGGTGGAGAGGCAACGTCTGGAGAATTCGTAAGCCACCTGACGATTTCACGTTTGTTTGGGCCTGTCCCAAATTCGCCCCCAAATTCGCTCCAATAGTTTCTAAGGGACGTGGCAACCATTTGGAGTCGTGCTAATGGGCAAGGAAGAAATAGCCAGCCCCGTCCCAGAGGCTCAGTCTGCGCACCAGGCGTAGCAGGCGTCAAGAAAGGAGCAACTTTCCAAATCCAAACTTCCCTCCCCCCACTCCCCTGGTTTCTTTCCCTCCACAGAAGGTGTAAGGCCTTGACAAGTGGACCTGGCCGACTGTCCTGGCTCAAGATAGAGGCGACATGGTCCCTCACGGCGTATCGCGATATGGCGCCAGCACTCGCTAAGCATATTCAGACCGAAAGCAGGGCAAAAACGTCCAACCCCCAACGAAGAAAGCAGATACAGCCTGTTGTGTTGCTCCTGAGGTGTATGTTGAGGTAAAGACTCTTGACCCATTGCGTCAAGCCTAGATACAGCTGTCAAAGCCCTGGGCATTCAATGCCCATTACCTGCACTTGACAACTAAGAAGCGGAGGCCATTGTTTGTTTTTTCCTCCACGGACACGCAAATAGGTTTTTCGTGCACGCCTGAGGGTAGTTGTTGACAGGTGTTGGGGGTATTGTCCCTGTCAACTCCCCGACTTTCCCCGACGCCCCCAAGCTTACGCCTTCTTTTTCGCGCCGCCTTCCCCGGCGCTCATGTCGAACTGGGATGAGGCTGGGATGGTGCCAGGGGTGCAGCTTGGAGTGGCTACGTCGCATGAGAAATAATTCCGACCTGAGGCGGGCAGTCTGTAGCAAGCGTTTGGCAGTCTGTAGCAAGCGTTTGGCAGTCTAAACTTCTTGTGACCCGACTGCTACAAGTTGAGCCCTTTACCTTCAAGGAGAAAAGAAGGAGAAACAAAAACAGCGGGTGTCACTGGCTGTTTTGAGGACGAGTGGCACCAGCCCGATGTCCAGCAGGAAGGATGGCAGGCGCGCGGAAAGCTGCGTGGAAGGCTGTGCGAAGGTTCGGCTCAAGGCGGACCTTGGATTTTGATCGGTGGTGTGATTTTGATGAGAGTGGTCAACTAGGTTGTGAATCCAGGGTACTTTGTAGAATTAGCCGCCCGTCACTGCTTCTCCGGTAAAAATGATCAGCTCACCTGTTCAGTGTCCAAACTTTCAGCCGGCTTCGGCTCTAGTCAAACAGGGTGCACAAATCCAATTTGGGACGCAGTCTTGTTGGAGGTTGGGGCTAGGCCACGAAAGCAACCAGCCAGACACTCTCCCATTTTTTGCCCCTTGAGGGCATTGCTGTCAAGGTCGCTTTGTCCCTTGCGGTCGATGTCAGAATCCTGTCACCCCGAACCTGCCACGTGACTAGGGGCTGTGGTGCGCTTGGACCATTGGAAGTGAGACAATTCTAGCGTTTGACAATATGGCTGTGGGTCAAAAATAGGTACCCAAGATGGAACCTTGGTAAATGGAAACATGGACTAAAACCTGCGGTCCCCTAGTGGTCAATTTTGACCCACACCCATATGGGCGTGCTTCTTGTACCGAGGAACCCCTTTGGTCCCGTAGGTCAACGGAGCATACGGAAGGGACACCAACCATTTGAGCAACCCCAATGTGGGGGTGTCTTGCTTTGATGCTCCATTTTTGGGGACGGGATTCAAAGGGAAACCAGAAGGACGCCACCCATTTTGTGGTCCCCTCCGCTCCTCTTGTTTTTGAGACAAATCCCATAAACGAGCTCCCAACCAAACCCTTGTGCCAGGCAGGGTATGGCGTGCGGGCCCAGCGGGCCACGCGGTGAAACGTTAACAACGTCAAACAACTACATGGTAGGTTAAAGATGCATGCTGCATGCTTGGGTTTGTCCTGGAGACCCCCCCCCCTAAAAGAATGGTGGGCGTTCCTTTTAGTTTCCCTTCAAAGTACCCTCAAACAACATCTAGCCCGACTTGTTTCCGTATTTGCTTATTTGCTTACTTACTGCAAGATGTTACTCAGATGAGCGACTGCCTTTGCTTGCCCAAGACTGCAGCAAAGGCGGGTCGGCACATGTTATGCTGGATTAGGTGCAAACAGAGGTAGGAACACCCCCAAAACGAGGTGGGGCCATGACGAGGTCGTTGAAAGCACAAACACATGCGAGGTTGAACAACGAGGTCAATGAGTGCAAACAGTTAACAAGGTGGGAAAACCTGGCCATTTAACCACGTAGATAACGGACGTAGCTCATATGAATATTGCGGCGCTGTGTGGCGTGTGGCTTTCTGGGTATCAATTCACCTCACAGAAGGAAGATATCCACCGATATTTTTAGGGCTAAAGGTGGGGAGATGCTAGCATTGGTTCTGCTGGGCTTTGGTTTCACCTTGCAACCGTGCAGCGGGAGCAGCAAACAAGCATTCCTTTGCCGAGCTGCTTGACGTCGACATGTGACAGTTTGTGTCTCGATGCACTGAATGGTATGCGCTTTTATCAGGAAACACATAAAACCATTCAGAGGTCTAAGGGTCGGACGATCTCTTTTAGAAATCTCAGGGCTCCTGAAGGGCTCCGAGAATGCGCTCTAAGGCGCGGTAGATGAAGAGGAGGAGGAGGAGGAGATGATTGAGGCCGGACGTCGGGAGTAAAACCACCCCACGAATCAGAGGAATATTCTGACATATTTGATATGCCCACCAGAGGGGAACCGCCCTTGATAAGTATGATCCTCCAGCTGAATCCGCATGTAAGATTGATTTCACAACCCGTTTTTGGGGGACTTCGCTCAATAAGAAGAATCTCCTTGAAATCAGTTCTTTCGACACTACAAAGGACCGCTTAAGATTGGTTCAAGGTGATACATGAGGGGCTCCCGGTTAGCTCGGGGGGATCCAAGCATGAAGCAGCGCCCCCTGGGGCTTACTGAGGTGGGGGGCAGCATGGGGGTCAGCAGCCCGAGATGCCATTTGAGGCACTGTAGGTGTTCAATCAATGTGTACGGTACGACCCGGGGGATTCCCAGCGCTTGGGGAGTTAGGTGCAGTGATACAGAACTCCGGTCACATGGCGTGTCGGCATGTTTGATCTAGATTCTGATAGATCAAGGTCTGGCCAACAGCTGTTCAAGCCAATTGGGGCACCGTAGCACAAATGGCACACAACTCGAGGCTTGTCAAGGCTGCAACCCTTTGGATATTGCGCCATATCTAGACTGCGTACATGGCAAACAAGGACTGGGTTGTGACATTTGGGCATCCTATTTAGGTCCATTCCGAAAGGGCAACTCGAATTTGCGTGTTCAACAACTTGATGTTCAAAAGCTACTGCCCGGTCACGTCTTGATAGTACTGCGACTGAAGATCTAGATGACAATCCGAGGCCACGTGTTCCGATTCCAATCGACTCACTGAGGACACCGTTGTCATCATCGACAATGGCTCCGGCTTGTGCAAGGCGTGACTTGGGGCTGAGGGCTGGGTCAAAAGGGTGCTGCCCAGGCTGTGGGTTTGGCGGCGGAATCCGTTCGCACGAGCTGAAATGAAACCATGGCTGAAACCATGACGTTTGTTGGTAACAAAACAGGAGAGTCATCATTCCAGGGGGTTGCTTAGGTGGTGCGAAATGGATTTTGATCATCCACACTATTACCCTTTGGGAAGCAGACTTGCCGCTTTAAAAACCAGTAACTTCCATGGGGGGTACAAGGAAGTTGTCGATACCCTGCCACATGGCATTCAGGGCTGCTTGAGGAACTTGGCCTTCAAGGGACTAACACGACGGAGAGCGGTCGTGGTTGAGACAATGCGGACGTAGTGTCGACTATGTCGACTGTAGGCTGTGTTCTTGGATGGAGGGGTATAGTGTTTTGGCCAAGGCAGCATGGATCGACCAGTCTTTCGGTCACAGAGCAGCCCATGGACTAGAGGTGCCGGAGCAATAGGTGTCCTTTTTGGTGGTTTTGGTCAATGGATGGCCTCGGTTTACCTGGTGGTTTAATCATCTACCAGGGCCATCTATTTCCCCGAAAAGGACGCCTATGTGAGGGAGAGCAATGGCTAGTGGTGCTCTCGGAGTGATGGCACAGGTGGGCTTCTCCAACGAGGAGGCGCCTCGATTCATCTTCCCAGAGATCATCGGGCGGCCGCGGGACGTCTGGAAGGACCGAGGCTCAACAGAGCTATGAAAGCGATGTGTTCCTTTGTTTGCCGGTTGTATTCTTCTTTCTGGTATTGTTGGCTTAATGTGTTGTGGTGTGTTGTTTTGATGTGTCATGTTCTTGTTTGCCTTGCTTTGATTTTCTTCTTCTTTTTTACTGACAGCCTAAAAAGCGGATTCTCCGAAGGAGAGTTGGACGTATGGAAGGGGACCCTCAAAAAGGACACATGCAAGCGGCACCCCTGCAACGCGGGCTGGAAAAAGAAACGAGCCTGGGCCAGAATTGGATGGCAGGTGATGAAAGGGTTCTGGACAGAAACCGTTACATCCACAATCTGTTGGAAAGCTGTATTATCTCACGAGGATGTGTATAGGGAGATTTCTCAAACAAGACGCCGCCTTCACATTGAGCGTTGTGGGAGTGCCTGTGCCCCCATTCGGCTCACCATGTTTAAGCCCTAAGTACGGCAACCAGTGACACGGTTCACCACGGCTTAAAGATTTCACAACAAACGGAAGGCATGCGTCCATGGCATGTAGCTGATGAGGGTGTGCGATGTGGATGGCCGACAGCGATGAGATGGGTGCCTACGGACTATCAGTGTTCAGGGCGCATGCAGTGGTGTCGAGTGCCCTAGCCCATCATGTCATGAGGTTCCCGTTGAATATCCTTTTCAAGCCACCAAAGACAAAGGACTGCAAGGGAAGCACCGTGGATGGTTTCCATTTGCTCCAGGCCGGGAACCGAAAAAGGCTCAATTGGTGGGGATTGGTGGCTTGGGGATCAGCTAGCACCTTTTGAAACCAAATGATAATATACTTCCAAGAGCACGGATAAGAGGCTCGGATGCGGCAGGTTTGGGGCGGAAACGGAGCGTTTTGCAGGAGAAGGGCGGCTTTGCCGACTACTACTTTGGGGATCAGATCAGCCCACAGCTTCAGAGCAAGGCCAACCGTGGGGGCGAGGGGCGGAGACCTGTTTGGCCCCTGGGGGGGGGGGGATAGGTAGTGTGCTTTTGGCGTCCCTTTCAAACAACCCCCAAGGCCCTTTTTCCTCGCACCATGGACGAATGACACCTTGTTCCCTACCAAAGCTTGAGGGAGTCGACAGCGAGAACATGAGCACTGCCGGGCTTATGGGAACTCGATGCGGCACGCAAACTCAACGACTTCGGGTTCTCCAGCCTTTGAGGACATTGGCAGAAACTGCTGAGGAATCAATCCAGGTCCCGGGGAGCTGAAGGGAAGGGAATTCCAGTCCAAGCACCTATGGGCCTACGGGTTACAAGTGTCGTGTGTGAATATACATGTACAGATGTGCAGCCGCAAATTTGTGTTTTCAGACTCTGTCTCCCTTGCTGTGTGCCTGGCATGTTCCTTGTCAGTGTGCGATCAGCTACCCCATGGAGAACGGGGAGATCGAAAGCTTTGCACCTCGCCAATAGGGCCCGAAGGTCAAGCGAGGGTGGGCGAAGTGCTGGGTTTATGGTGATTGTTTTGGTCCAGCTTGATGGATTATGCCTTTGGTCGACATGATGGTTTCTGCGAGCCATTTGGAGACATTGAGAAACTTGGGGTGGGTTGCCAGTTTCTTTTTCTGGAGAAGAAAACCCATGGCAAGAGAATCTCGCAGTAAAGTCATAGGAATGGGAGCCCCAATGCAGCAAGGGGCCTAAGGCCCATGAGCAACAGCCTGTGTCGCAATCAACTGAATGGTGTCACCTCTTTCTGCGAATTCGACCAGGGTCCATCAGCTCCTCCATGCATGGTGGGGATTGACAAAATGGCAAAACCTGTGCCCCTTCTCTGAAGATAAAATGTCAATGAAACGAATCAAGCGACGAGGTGTTTGGCCCCCCGCTTCCACAAGAAAAGGGATCCTGTCTTCTGGAATCCTTATAGCGGGGGTCAACCCCTGAGCTAAGCAGCTGCTTGTTCGGCCTGCACCGACTCGCACGGAGTGAAGCCTTGAGAACACATGTGTGTTGAGATGCCATAGAAATTTGAGTAAACGTGCTGCAAGCAGCTTCATTTCAAGGGTACAAAGATTGTTTGTTTGGACATAATTAGGCCCTTCTATGATATCACTATGTCATGAGTCATGGTGCAGAATCCGGTCATCCTGTCCCTCGTAACTGGCCACAGGTCATTAGATTGGGGTGGGGTGCGGTGGGGTGGGTACCCACCACTTCACTCCACCAATCACTTATCTCACTTCTAAATAGTTGCATCCCCCCCCACCCCACCCCACCCCACACCCCACCCCACCCCACACCCCACCCCACACCCCACCCCACACCCCACCCCACTCCACACCACACCCCACCCCATCCCCCACCCCACCCCACACCCCACCACCCCGACCCCACCCCACCCCACCCCCAGCAGGCCGAGAAAAAGAAGAAAACTGAAAGAACCCGAAAGCAAAAGAGAAAGGGAAGCAGAGACAAAAGCAGGAAAAGAGTCGCCGCAAAGATGCCTGGCTTGAGGGCGCATTTTTCTTTTTTTGCTTGCGCCTCTCGCGCCTCGCGGCGGGCGCCGTTTACATGAACCACGTGCCAAACAGGCACCGCCCAACCCTCACTTTTGCTTGCAATGACGTAGAGCGCAACCACGCGCTTGCCAGCTCAGCAGCGCCACGTCCGCCCACAGCCGACCGCTCCCTGACAGAGGGGCGGAGTTCAAGACGTCTCACAGGCGGCCTCTTGGATCACGGAGCTTGGGGACGGGGAGGACACTTACACGCCTTAGTGCAGCAGGCCAAGCTGTGCACCCTGGAAGCACAGCACGGTCGAACAGGCTGGTAGCAGACGTCCTACCAGCTCAACGCATGTTGCCGCGCCTCCTCCGGGCCTCTGCGCATGAAACTACGCCACGCGCTGCACAACCTGTGCACTCGGCCACAGCCGCGTCCTCGCCAGGGTACACCCTGACCGCGCCGTTGGTGCTGAAAGGCCGCGAATTCCACCTACAGGCCATGGTGTGCCGTCTGGGAGAGAACTGCGTCTCCTTCATGAAGCGGTGGCCTCTACGAAGCAGCGGAGTGCGCGGGCATGCTGCCGGCGCCTTGGAAGGGCGCGGAAGACCGCGTGTGCCTACAGGCGCGCTTGTCAGCGCCGCGCCAGGAAGCCGGTCCAACACGACCTTGAAAACGGATGCCGGTAGGCGAAAGTGAGCTCCCGTCAAGGAAGGAGAGGCTGCCGAAGAAGACCTTTGCCCGATCCCAGTTCCAGACATTCAACGCTCGGCGCTTCAAAGTCTTGCCTTCCAAGGCAAAGCCGAACACGCGAAACGCGCAGTCAAAGAGGAGAGCGCCGTGAAAGAAAGACGTGGTCCGATCCTGAGCCAACTCGAACTCAACTTTTGCTGTTATAGGCCAAGCTGAGCGCTCCAACGAAGGGAAGAGCAAGCAAGAATTCAGTCAGAGTCGGAGAGGAGAGCGGCGCGCTCGAGCAGACACTCTGACAGCCCCTTGCAGGGTCGCTCGCTTTGCACAAACTTTGCGCAGGCGACGGCAAAGACGACCTCCCGCAAATCCGACCGCGGACCTTCGAAAATCCACCTAGGAGGCGCGTTGCTCCCAACAAGACTCAAGGGCGCGCCGGCCGAGCAACGCGCGCGCAAGAGTCCGCAGGCTTCACCCGGAACCTTATCAAGCTACAACTCTATGGCGCAGAATGTCTGCATCTTCTCGCGCAAAGGTGAAGAAGACCTCCTGCTGGAAGCGGTCCGAGTTGCAAACCGCAGAGGACGGCCAGGTTGGCCCTCCCCACACGGCTTCGGCAACTTAGCGCAGAGGACAAGCGCGGGCTTTTCAAGCGGGGCGCGGGGCAAGCGGCGGAGGGTCAGCGTCTTAGCCGCGGCTCGTCTGCTTCGCAGAGGCGAAGACGACCTCCCGCTTGAAACGCTGCGGGCCGCAGCTCGAAGCGCGGTGCGTCTTTACGCGCAGCTCTGCCAATCAGCTCGACAGGACGGATTGCAAGCAGAAGCAGACAGCGAGCGTTGAGAATGCTCGCGGGCCCCAGCGATCATCCGCCCCGCCGCGCCCCGATCATCCCACCGCCCCACATCCAAAGCAATGCGATACACCCCACCTCCCCGAAGCCTGAGCGCGCACTTGTGTGCAGATCCGCCCAGCGGCTCAAGCCCAATTCAACCATCAAAGCTCCGCCCAGTCCGGCACCACGTGGCCGCTGATGCGGTACCGGCGCGCGTCGTACTCCATCGTAATCAATGCCCTCTCTCCTAGCGGTGGTAGTGCCCATTGGCCCCCACAACAGGCACCTGAAATCTAGCCTGCAGCCACCCCAGTGCGTACTTGAGCGGGTGAGTGCGCAGATGACCGGAATCTGAGTGCGCAGATGAGCCTGGCGCCACAAGCAAAAATGACAGGAGGAGGTCGGTGAGTCCGCAGGCTTCAAGAAGCCATCCACAGAAAACGTGCCTTGAAGTCCTCTTTGTGGTGGGGCGCCCGAGTGATGTTGAACAGCCCGTCAAAATCGTCACCTGCCAGAGGGGTCTTCGCCCAGGAGGACATGGAGAAGATGTGGGATCACATCTTCTTCGACAAGCTGGAGGCATGGCTCAAAAAAAAGCTTTTGTTTGGCAAGTGCCAAAGAGAGGTCACTATGCTGGAGGTCCTTTATGGGTTTGGAGCGACCGTAAACAAAAGGGTGCCAAGTGTTTGCTTTTGGAAACTGTTTGGAAGTACTGCCAGTGCTAAATGACTGCGGCCAGTACGGGGGAGGATGCACCGCCAGAAAAGATTAAGAATGTGCCCAGACAATGCCTATACCCTAGCCTTGATGTCTGGCTGGCCTCCTCTGTCGTTTTTGTGTTTTTTTCAGGCCCTTTACAGGGTTCTATTGCAAGGGCGGTCCCTCTTGCGTTTTGAAATGCAACATTTGCACAGGAAGGAATCTGGCCCTTTCAAAAGAAGCACTTCCAGAAACAACACAAACCCTTATAACAGAAAGCAAGCAACCTTCTACAAGAAGCAAACCAGAACCTCCAAAACATCAAGAACCACACCACAAGCCACTACAACAAACAAAGAACAGCAAGCGCATCGAATTCAGAGTATTCCATCAACAAACGCGAAAACAACCGTGAGCTTTGCAGATGGACCCTGACAGCTTCGTGAACCACCCAGTGCTACTCACGGAGCCACCCTACAATCCCACGGCCAAGAGGGAGAAGATGGTGGAGGTGCCTCGGCATTCTGCCCACGGCGTGTGGCGATGCGGCATGGGCATGTCCTTTTCTAGAGCAATCTTCCAATTCTCTCATGGGTTTTTGGAGATATAAGTAGTTGTGTCCGGGACTCAGATAACCACGGGGCAATAGCGCGTTGCCTCAAATGAACTTCCTTACTCCAGATTTAGCAGTAATACTATTGCAGAAAACAAGTTTTGCAACAGCGCATTGAGTGTAACATTTGATTTTGCCATGTTGCTCGGGAATCGCATTATTTGGTGACCGCGACCAACTTGAGACACCCACAGCAGATGGGCAGATTCCAAGAGGCAACAGCTTTATGTCGGTGCCCTTTTGGGGGTCCAAATGCCCAGCGTGTGGGCTTTAATATGCTGATGTCAGAAAAAAACATGTGCACCATATCTCGCCAAAAGACACCGGCACGCCTTGTTCCTCGTCTTGCGCCTGGCGTGCACCGCGCCAAGGTGATGTTCGAGACATTCAAGGCAGAGAAACTGGGCCGGCACTCGTGAGAGACGGGTTTTGACGGGTTTTGGGAGTAGCCTGCGTCACCGGCCTCAGGCAACGCAGCTCGCTTCAGTGACGCGTGAGGTAGGATGCATTCTGCATTCCGGTGACGCATGTATGAAGCAAACTCTAGGACAGTGTGTTGCGTTGCCCCTCTTAGAAGGAAACAGTTGGACGCCCTTTGTTTCCAACAAAGCAGGTCCGTCCCGATGCAAGCCTGCAAACGAAAATATACATCTTTACTTAGTAGTGACTCTCATTTAGTGACTCTCATTTTGGAGTCCATCCTTGAGGGTCCGCTGCTCTTGTTCCGAACATGACAGCGACATATGTTTGCGGCACGGCAATATTTGCTGGCAGGTCATTTATTTACATGGGAGGGCATCCAGTGGCAGATGGGCCATTGCTGCATCTAGGCACCTTCGACATGTGTTCGCGAAGAACAACATGCCAATGTCTAGTCACCAAATACGCACCAAATCTTCCTTCCTTGGGTTAGCGAAAAGATGCTGAAAACATTTGATCCTGAGTGAAGTCTCTCTCGGCTTTCGAAGCTCAAAAAGCGGTTCGTATATACATGGTCTCCTGACATTCCCCTGTTGTTCCTGGTGCTTTTAGGGTACTCTGGGTGGCATGCACAAGGCAGCCAAACCATGGAACAGCACCTGGGGGCCAGCGGGTTGCCATGCCGCAGGTCCCCTTGTTGAACATCTCCATTCAGGCCGAGCCGAGCGGTGTGAGCGTTCTTTGATCGCAGATCTGGGCCAATGACTCGACAGCTTCCCCAGGCCTAAAGCGAGCTCCTCATGATGAAGGTGCCTGGCTAGGGCATTCCTAAATGCCACATATGGTGAATTGATTGGCTTTGCCCAGATACTGTAATCGCAGAGGCAAAGGGCAGTTGAACATCAATGGTGATCCGAACATCATGGTTCAAAATTCATTAACACTCCCTTAAGGCACGTTTTGGTTAGATGGATGTTTGATCCGTGTGTTGCCAGCTCCTGACTGATAACTTTTTTTTGACTGGCACCTTGAGCCACAGGCCACAGCAGGGATGGTGACCTTGATTTGTTGAGCAAGGGAGCTTGAATAATAGTCGCGTATAGCGCTTCGTGTTGGCTCAGGATCCGTCTGCAAAAGACACCACTTGATAAGGTTGCCTTGCGGTACGGCTGTCACTGAGCATAGCTTTGGGATGACCCAGATCGTCAGATTGATCTCAGAATGTCGCGGTGCTTTCCAGGTTATGGACACCCAGTGGCTGAAGGTGACACGCGCAGAAAGGTGACAAGACACTCCACCTGAAATGATCATGAGAACTTCAGCTTCCCACTTCCCAATCAACACATTTTAGTGCATATATCAAATACAAACAAGGAGAAACACAAAAAACACATCAGCAACAGCTTGCCCTTGCTGCAATGTGCGCCGCCAAAATTGAAAGCGCAACTGCGAAAGTGATCTCAAGCCTATAGAATCGTCAAATTATCATACAAAAAGAAATGCGATTTTACACAGATATTAATTTACTCTCTTTTTTACAACAGCATTTTTATTAGAATTAAATCTCATTAAATAACTAACACATCTTTCCCCCGCAAAATGCGTGGCTCCCCCCCCCCCCCCGGCTCGGCTCGGTTCAGGGCGTACTGGCGCTGCTGGGCCAGGGCCGAACCACCGGCTTGGTGCTGGACAGCGGAGAGGGGGTGACCCACTGCGCGCCTTGGGCTGGTTTCCCGAAGCCGGCCGAAAAATGTTTGAAGCGGCCCAGAATTTTGGGAGGGGGAAGGGGGTGCTTCTAGATAGTTGGCTGCTCACCTTGCTTTTTTTCCGTGTGCTTTGGAGGTTGAGGGTTGGAATAGATACTTACGTTGCTGTTTGTGGTATGTTGGAGGGTTACCTCGCGCTTGGCGATGCGCGGTTTTTTGAAGCAGGAATAGACTATCACCTGGCTGCCAGCTGTTCTTTTGGTTTTACTCTTGGGTGATGTGGTTGCAACCGCAATGCACTTGCAACTGCGAATGGACCGGATCTGACTTTAAGCGTTTGATGTTTTGTTTATGTGTTGGGTCAAAAAAAACAAGGTGAGCCTGGGAACCCAAAAGCAAGTTCACAGAGTGCCCCCTGATGGCTCCGAACACTGGCGCTCCAAAAAAGACCCCCCTCCCAAACCCCTCCCCCGACGGGTTTTTCCTCTTGTCGGGAACTTGCCACCCATTTCTATGCCGACCAATCATGCTGTCCCTGACCAAACTTACTGGGGCCAATGAACTGAGCTAGCAGATGGTGCACACGCCAGCATGAGTTCATGGGAGACCAAATCCCACCGGCACGAAGCCGTCTGCACCCGGCGAACGCTCCCATCGCGGAAGGCTCCGACTCAACGAGAACCCATCGCATCAGAGATGCCTTTGTTGGGAATAAGTTTGCAATTCCTCTCTGAGAAGGTCACGCACGAGCACAAAGGCAACCCTGATGCGATTCCAATTTCGCCTTTGGGCAAGAGCCGTTTTTGGAGGCCAGCCTGTGCAGTAAAGAAAGAAACAAGGTTGGCAAGGCTTTACGGATTCCAAGGTTCAGATGTCGCCGTTTCATGTCCGCGTGCTAGGTGCCAATTTTCGACGGCTACGGCCTCCCCCACTGCATCAACCGCTGGGGGCGCCGGTTTGGGAGTGAGTGGGCGATGTGCGTTGCGAGAGCTTCGTGTCGTGTGTTCGGCAAGATGCACGGAGAGCATTTTTCTGGATCCTATGATGCGTGGGCATTGGCAAAGGCTACACAGCCCAGGCCCCTCCGACCACAACGTTTTGCATGAACGGACCCTTGAGCTTCACGTGTGGGCCCTGAACCATAAAACGATGAGTTAGCTATGAATCGATGCAAAGGCCAGTCCCTCCAGAGATTTCGACTTAGCCAAAGAAGGCCATCCATGGTCGTGTTGGCGATGGAGCCAATTTCCCTTTTGCCCTTTCTTGAGCGTCAGGCATCGGCGGGTGAAACCCGCACCTAATGACCATTCCAAATTCGCGGGCTATTGGACGCAGGTGTTGGCTGTCGGGGAAGCACTTGATGCTCAAGGGTCACGTTCACGAAAGGGCTGCTTCTCTTTGCCTTTCTGACCGCGGGCTTGGGAGTGGGTGCCCCTTTCCATCCTAAACAAGTATTCCATTCACAGCAACAGTAGGGCTCCTTGGTAGAGGGTCCCCTCTCGTGCGTCAGGGCTTTGGTTTTTAGGTTGCTTTCCATTTGCAGTGCCTAGAAGTGCCCCCTTCTCCATACTCCCCATTTCAATTTGTTTGGCCTTCGATTTGAAGTCAGGGAAACCAAGCCTCGCCTCAAACTGCATATACCATACACAACACACTATGCCATGAGCTGCATCTCAGCCAAACCGACCCGATGAATTTCCCTATGGCGGGTTTTCCTCCAATGGGTTTAAAAGGATCCCCTTGTGGTTTCCATTCCACCAAACTGGGATCCAGAAACACCATGTCGAAAACAACAACCTCGCCCTGCGGCCTTAGAAGGGACCTCTTCGGATGATAACTCCCAGGCGGCCACCAGGCAAAACAAAAATCCACCAGGACGGCCCCAGGCTGCGCCTCGCGCCTGCCGTGTTTCGAGGCCTAGACCTGGCGGGCCGGGAGCTGAACACGTTGCTCTGCAAGCTGATGGCGCTGGAGGCTCGCACGCGGCTCCGTTTGGGCCAGGTGGGCTTGGGTTGGCTCGGTTCGGTTGGGGTGCGAAACGCGGGGGCTGCAAAAAAGACGGGGCAAGTGCGGGGCGCGAAATTGGGCTAATCCCTCACCCTTGAAGTAAGAAAGACTGCTTCTTACATCTTGCAGATGGCATTTGACCTATGAAGCAATGGTGGACAGTTTTGACAGACAACTTAGTGGAAATCCAAGCCCAAGGAGACTCTCCCTGGATCTCAGTAGGGCTCCAATAAGGTCTGTTTGTGGAACGACCCTAAGGCCGTACTAAGAGGATATCTTTGGTGGGGGGCGGGGCTGGGTCCCATGCTCAAAACGAACGAGGCACCGATCTCGAGCCACCGCCATTTGGAGAATATTGGGAGCATGAAGACCCGCGTTGGTCGTTTCCCTTTTCCCGGTTCCCTTAAAGCATCGACCTGCAGGTTGGTTTGGAGGGTTTCACAGGGAGTTCCGGTTGATTCTCGAACAACCTGTTTTGCCTTAAACCATCAGGGAACGACAGGCAGCGCTCGCACGCGCAGGGCCACCGCCTCACGACCACGGAGCATCAGTGTGCAGCGCGACAGATGAAGGAGGGCAGTGCTTGGGCTACTTGAAGCGTATGCGGAGGCCCCATTTCGGGGAGAAATGCGTATCCTCGTGGCCGGCGGCGATTTGAGGGTGGGAACATGTGATGTTCGTACCTGTCAGATTGCCTTGACAACTTGAGTAAGCTGATTGAAGGGACCATGAGTTGTTCCGCGTGGATGGCCAGCAGACCGTGTTGAACGTTCCCTCCGTTGGATTTGTTTGGAGCCGCGTTGCAACAGTCGAGTTCCCAAGTTCAGAAGAAGTCCGTTCGGCGCATGGTGAGGAGCAGCTCTGCTACGTGGCGCTAGAGCCGTCGTCAGAGAACCTCGGCAAGGATGCGCTCAGTTTCGCGGGCCCCTCGTGGAAGAAAAGGTGAACTGCACATACTGTGAATGGACAAACTGCAGCGAGGCGGTTTATCCCGGTCAGCGTGTCATCCATCCAAAAAGGGTGCCAGGTCAGATGTTACCCTATTTCCAACTAACCATGGAAGTGCACAGAGGGGTTCCCCAAACGGAAAGTCGTCTATCCACAGAACTCCTACCAGCTTCCATGATTTTCAGGGAGGGTGACCGGAGACCCACCGCCAGTCCATCTGCCGATCCAAGGATCGCTGAGGAGCGGAGGTTCCAGCTGCCCAACGGGCCCAGCATCTCGCCGGATGCCCAGACAGCTCGCCGGACGACTCCTGCTGAGAAACCACTCGAAGCCAGGGCTAGGGGATGTCCCCTTTTTGGAGCTGCCTCTTACCAGCTTGGGCTGGGGGCGATATGCGCCATGTTTGGCTGAGACAGAACTCACTCAGAGTCCATCATTCAGCGGCCAAAGTCCACCTAAAACCCATCCTCTACTGACGGGGCAGGGAGTCCCTTCAAGGCGAAAGTGGGTGTTGCAAGTGCCTTTCCGCAGGCAACCTAAAAGTTCGGTTCATTGATTGATTGATTTATTTATGTATTTATGTATTTATTTATTTATTTATTTATTTATTTATTTATTTATTTATTTATTTATTTATATATTTATTTGATTGATTGATTGATTGATTGATTGGTTGGTTGGTTGATTGGTTGGTTGGTTGGTTGGTTGGTTGGTTGGTTGGTCGGCTTGTCGCTTGTTTGGTTGGTTGATTAGGCACTCAATGTGTCAAACAACCTTCGATAAGCAGGTGTTTTCCACTGAAAACTGCTCCAACAGGTGATGCTTGAAGCATCCAAGGCGCAAATGCAACCTTGCAAGCACAAAGCAGGCAGATGAAGCTAGTCGAACCGGTTGTTGAGAAGCATTTTACATTTTAGATATTGTGGTTTAGTGGGAAACCCCCACTGAACTGCTAAAGTTTATTTTTTTTGCTCCCCTTTTAACGTCAACCAAGATGAATTGTGTTGAGTGGCCTTCGCCGGCAGCTTGTGGGGCAACGTCCGTGGGCCCACCGAGCGCCAGGCTCCAAGATGAGCGCTGGAAGTGCCCGGAGGCGCTCTTCAACCCCAGCCTCGTGGGCCTCGACGCTCGGACTTCGGATACTTCGGACCTCGCGGGATTCGGAGCCCTCATGGGGCGTGTCCCTTTGGGAGCGATCGATTTGTTCGGGGCAAGTCGGGAAGAATTTGCAGAAGCAAGACCCGGAAGACCGGCCGGCATTGGCTGACTTTCGCAGTTTCTGGACTCTGAGCAAAAAGGATGCTCCCCTTTGCTTCCGCCCTTGGGCAACTGGCTTTGTTTGGTTTGCATCTCAGGAGTGCGCTGGCGTGGCGGGCATGGTCTGGGACAGCACCCTAGGCTGAAGTTCAACTCGACGCAGCGTCGAGTGTACTGCTGGATTCAAAGTGAACATGTTGTTTAGGAAGTTTCAAAGACATTTGTGGAGATGTACCAAAGTGAATATTTACGCGTTTGAAGGGATCTCAAACTCATTGTTTCGGGAAGTTCCGTGCAGCTCAGTTGAGAGCGTCACTTAAGTGGACCCAGTGGACACAACTTCAATGACGTGACCACGAAAGCAACAGGGCGCTCTTGTGTGGCAAAAGGTTGTTGACGCTCCTAAAGACAAGCACCCACGTCCCGAAAAAGGATGCACGTTGTAGTAGAAGTTAAAATCGGTGTTGATTGAATTTGGCCGCTGCCCGTTGGCTCTTAAGCCGCGAACAAAGGTATCGCACGTTGCGACGTGGATGTGCGGAAAACGCTCCTCTCCAACGTGGTCCTGTCCGGAGGAGCCGCAAACCCGACATAAGTCGCTAGGCCATCATCGAAGCCTGTGGCCATTTCATCGACCAACCTAAACCACTTTCCCAGGTTCAAAAAGGCTCTATAATCGCAATACACGGCCATCATAGCCAGGTTATAGCCGATTTTCCAAAGGGCGAGAAACCCCCTGAGGATTGTAGCAAAGGGGAGTCTTGCGAGGAAGCTGTGATTGCCATTTCGGTGCCAGAAACCAAGGGAGTTTGGCCGCTGCTCAGCAAGGCAGATGACGTGGTTCAAGGGATTGGTCAGAACCAAGTCAGGCGAGATACCCTACCAAGGTTGCCGCCTACACAAAAAATGGCGGCCAACAAGCCAACAAAGGTGGTAAACCATGGGCTGCGTAGGGGTTGGGCATATTTCTGGCCCAAAAAGGAGGTTCTAAGTGAGCTCCAAGTCAAATCACAGGTCAGGCACTGGCTTTGTCGCCCCCTTGATGCTACAAGCCGCAACCCATTTTAGCCAAAAGACACTCTGTCGCTTTGAAAATCTCAACAGCTCAACGTTATGATACGCAAATGCCAATGGCTTTTGGGGGAGTGTCCTTGGATGCATCTTTGTCGCCAGTCCTGAAACAGAACCGAGTTCTTTTTTCAAAGGCTTTTAGGGCCACTTTCTATGGGCAGAATCCCATTGTCGAAGTAGTCAAAGGGATGGCCACTTTCACAGAAAAGGCCCATGGTCCACAACAACGAGCGGAGCTGCGCCCGCTTCTTTCACCCATCGGCCCATCGTTCTGTTTTAAAACAAGCCGACCAGATCCCGTTGTGGCGTGAATATGAAGCTTCGCTTGTTCTCGGTAGGAGGGGGAACGAGCCGGTGGTGTCCAACATTCTGGCTTTAGGATAGTTTCAGGCTAGAGCTAGAAACTGGCCTGAGTTTGTGCCCCCACTAACATTGGATGATCGAAATTTACACTCTACCCACCCACTGACAAATGCGAATTCGGACGACCCCCTGATGGTCTTCCAAAACACGATATGTGTTTGCGGATAGAGTTTGGATATATGTTGCAGTGTGCGGGTGACAACAAAAACGAAGAAACGAAACGGCCAATTGATGATGTGTTATACAGCTGGGAATCAGTCCTATCATGCAGTGTATGCATAGGCTGGTGTTATTGTGGTTTTCCAGGGTGTGACGGTCTGGTCGTGGACGGGATCTGAACCACTCCCGCGAGTTACAGCCCCTACGGCCATATTTGGGAATCTGTCAGCCGCCCAAGTTTCCTTGTAGCTGGCAGCATGGAGTGTCCAACCGGCTTCGACGCAACCACGTGTTTCTTTCTCGCTCAAAGCAGCAAACATTTGGGCAGCGTGCGCCCTCAGACAGCCATCAATCACACATCCCCTTCGCATCCAGATCCCGTGTGCCGTCGGGTTCCTGATTTGAAGATTGACAGGCTGCACGATGTTCCCTGGCTTCAGTGTCTTCGGCAGCATGGGTGCGGCAATGCTTGCTGGCCATTTGTTCTGAATGAACAGTTTGCTCATCACTCTTCACTTGCTGGGAAACCGGTTTGGATTGAGTCCCTGATTGTATCGGCTTCTCATAAGAGGGTGGCTCTTCACCCAAATCGTGTTCCGTCCTTGTGAGCGGCTCAACCTTCCTTGGGAAGGGCAGTCCTTGCGGGTGCCTTGTTTTGTTCGGGGTATCAGATGAGCTGCACATTGGTCTGGATCCTGAGAGTCGGCAGCATGTTGAACCACCAGACTCAGATCTGTCACGTTCCGATTGCTTTACAGAGCGGGGGCCTGTCCAATGACAAGGCGCTTGCCCCCCATGGACCCGAGTTTGGAGTCCATGACGGACATGTAAAGGTTCAAGTACCTGCCAAGAAGGCTTTTGACCTCCCCCTCAAAAACAAGTAATATAAAACACAATAGCAATGAAAATTCCCACAATACTACTAATAATAATACAACTACTAATAATAGTAATAATAATAATTGATAATAATTGATAATAATAAACTCCAACAACAGAACAGAACAAACCACTCAGATGCTCCTCGGCCCCTGGGACATCGCCGAGGCGAGCGGCTCTCCAAGGAGCTGCGGGGTTACGCGCCAGTGGCGGCCCAGTGCGACATCCGCGTGCTGAAGAGCAAGGACCAGATCAGCGCCTCGGCACCAACCGGAACCCGTGAAGGGGCCCCTGTAAAAACGGGGGGGGGGGGGGCTGTGGCAATACGGCAGTGGGGTCACCGAAATGTCCGGGGGAAAAAGCAAAAAAATGTAAAGGTCGTTGGTTGCCACACTTGCGGGAAGATGTAAGTAATTAAGGGCATTTGTTGGTCAAAGTATCCTCTAAGGAGGCGCTGTAAGTGTGGACTCCCAGTCCCAGAAGGCCGTTGTTGCGCGCCGGCCCAGGTGCGGTTTGGACGGGCGGACAGGTCTCGGCCAGCCTGAGGGAGATGCAGGAGGCCTGCAACGTGGGGGAAAAGGCGGAAGGGGAACATGGAGGTGGTTTTGGGTGGGCGGGGCCGTGTTTGGGTGGGTTGTAGATGAGTCTTTGGTGGCCTTTGGGAAGCTTTGGACCCGATCTGTGATGACCCTGCTGCTCCTGCATGAGCACAGAGCATGTGCAAAATGCAGGGACTCTCGCCGTGGCAAGAGAGACACTTGAAATCCGAACTTGGTACTGGGTGTGCATGGTAAATGCTCCATGTTCCCCCAAAGCAGAGACGGAACCCAAGTTTAGCCAACATACCTGGAGCCACAGCCAGGCCAACGCTTCCAGTCAAGCTATTTCAAGATGGTATTGGCTCAGCCAAGCCAGAACCGCGAAGACGGTTGGCAAACCCGGGATTGCGTCCAAATGAATAACCGTGGGGGGATCAACCAGGGGATATAGTTGCCAGAATTCCTCTATGTTCTCTTTAAACATCACCCCACCTAGAGAAATTCATTCAACACTGGCCCACCAAGTGACTCCTCAAAGGACCAGCATGGGGAATTGTAGGGGGGGCCCTATATCTTGGGCAAGCAAAGGAGCTGAGACTCTCTCAACCACAAGCAATATCACTTGTGTTGTCATGCTATCCGAACCAAATCACACTGTGGTGTGCCAAATCAAGGACCTACAAGCAGTTGCCGGCGTCAACAATTGAGGAAACACACCATATTCACAGCCGGAATTCAAGGAAACGTGTTCATCTAGCACATCATGTTATGTTCATGTTCATTTGAGGAAACCTACCCATGAGGAATCCCCCCCCCCCGATTTATCTGAAGAACCCCCCCCCCCCCCCCCGATTTATCAGAAGAATCCTCCCCCCCTCCATCCCCCTGTGTTGCAGCTCAAATGCCATTTGGGGCTGTCGTCTTTTGATTTCCTGGAAGAGAACAGGACCAACCCACCGTTCTAGGGTAGCTCCAGGACCTCTGGATGACGCTGGAGGACTACGAAGAGTACGGCGCCAGCCTCATGCACGACAAGGTCGCCCGGGCGCCCAGGTGCCAGCGGGCGCCGTGACAAGCGGCTTGGGAAGAAACGGACGCGCGTGCAATTCAGGGGGACTCACTGCCTGAGTACTCCATTTCGGACTTTGGTCGCTTTTTGGAAAGACCATAAACATTTGGCTGTGGGTCAAAACCAATAGTACCATTTGGGGGTAGGTGCACCACCCATTTTAGTCGATTTTGGTGGGGATTGGGATGTTGACTGGGGGTAACCCGGCTTTTGACCCATGGCCATTAAGACTTCTGGCCCATCTCAGGAAGTGAGGCACCCTTGAAAAGGCTGGCTTGAAGTGGAATCACAAGGTAAGCCTGGGAATGATCAGAACACGGCATGTGCCAAAATAGGACCCAACAAATGGTGGTGCTCCTTTGATTGCCGTTAAGACCACCCGAAAAAGGGTGCCCTCAAAAAACACACCAAGTCTACCGTATACTTGGTGGCTTCCAGAAGTAGCCTGCATGAAGTATCCTCACCTGTACCTCCATAGCCCTCATTTTGGCGTAATTTGGATTCGCAGTGCTGGCATCATATCAAGTTTACATAAGTTGACATACATGCATCCACCCATACATGGCCTTCATACATGGGCCATAAATTTGATGTGGGTATGCGTCAAAATACGAACCCTTTCGCGTCAGCTTAAAGTTCCAAGCGAACAACGGGTCCCTTGACAGTCTAAGGTCCAAAGGCTTCACTCCAGGGTTCATTTCTTGGGTCCAGAATAGTATTCTTCTGATTCAGAGGGACCCCCCCTAGGTTTTCGGGGGTTTCATGTCGAGGGGAGTAATGCAATTTGGCCATGGCGTTGCGGACGAGGGAGAAGTGTCCTGGATTGTCATCCCCTGTTCAAGGCTGCGATTGCACAGTCGAGAGGGGCCTTTTCGGTTTTTGGTGGCACGTATCACCGGCCACACATACAATCACCCCGCTCCCAACGACTACCGTTCCGCAGCTCTGCGTCAACCTCGTAATTGGTGACCTTCAGGCTGTGAAGTACAACTAGCTCATCTGTGGCGAGCACTTCGCGTTGGCAGGCAGGAGAGGGAAAACACCAGAGCCAGTCCACACTTGAGGATATTTCTGTTGGGAGGTAGTTCCATCCACCATTCAGAGAAAGACCCGTGCCAGGCCTGCCCCCGGCCTCGGCGTCTCGGAAGAATGTGACGCCACGCGGTGACGCGGTGTACAGTAAAAGCCATCGGCAGAGCGTTCAGCCGAGTGGAAGGAGACTTGACAAGAGCCGCATGCGGTCCAGCCGATTTGTGAATTCGTGTTGTCAGGACGTAGAGGAGCTATTCAAGAGTTGACGCATGAATCTGTGTTTATTTGTTATACAGATTTGTATTTAAAGCACAATCATGTGTTGTTTGCACTTACATACACCAAAGTGAGGATCAGGGCAATAACTATCATGTAGGGTGTTTTGACCATGGACACGAAGGGCATTGTTTGAGAGCATATATTTTTGGGGGTCTCTCGGATGCGGCCTGAGTGAACATGGCAGATGGTCCACTTGGATAAACTCTGCACTTGCTGGACATCCATAAAAGGTCCCGGATTTGCCTCATATGGTGCCCCACATGGCAATCGTGTTGTTAAACTACGATCTGTTGCTTGCGAAGTTTGCTTTTCAGCTGGGAACTGACATGTTGGCTTGGTCTTCAGCTTCTTCTCACTCGACCTGTCTCTTTATTGCTCTGCCAGTAAGAACTTTGCTGATTTGGCAGCTACAGTGATTTGCCAAGGTCAGCCATTGCGGTGATCAGGTGACATGCTAGTCCTTGAACGAATCTTGTTGAGTGATCCTTCCCACAACACGGAAAGACCAGTTCGAAGAGGGCCTGGCCAACTCAGCACAACAAATCTGTTTCGCTCGGCGGAAATGCAGCGTGGGCGGCAAACATGCTCCAACCTTGCCTGCGGGGGCTTTACGCTTGCCTCGTTTGCAACAAGTGAGCTCTGACATGGAAGGGCAAACAGGTCTAGTCCAAAACAAGCAGTGATTAATGAGTTCGTCCTCGTCATGCCATGATTCACTCAAAGAATTTAGGCCGGAACAGTGGGGGAACATCTTTTTGTTCGGGTGTGTAAGAGTACGTGTGTGTGTTTGTGTGCCTTTTGTGTGCCTTTTGTTTCTGTTCACTCTTTCCGGAGGCTGCAAAGCAAAACACGCATGTGCTTCGATTTGTTTTTTGAAGAGAGAGAGAGAGAGAGAGAGAGAGAGAGAGAGAGAGAGGCAGAGGGAAAAAAAGCGACAGAGAGAGAGAGAGAGAGAGAGAGAGAAAGAGCTGCTGTTGGACGTGGCTCAGCTGAATTCAAGGGTTGCCCCGTGCCGGTGTCCCTACCCGCGCCTGGGCCGGCGCTTCGGCGCTTCGGCGCTTAGGCGCCGCGCGTGGCTCGCGGCTCGTCCGGTGCTTTCCGACGTGGGAACGCCGGGCACCAGGCCATGGCCGAGGATGTCACTCGGCAGCTACCATGTTGCGAGCAGACCCATAGGGGGGGGGGAGTCAAGTACAAGGGTTGTTTCGGGACGGCCAAGAGATGTGGAAAAGAAACGAGTTACTAAAAAAAACGTTTTCTTTTGACCATCAAAGTCGTCCTTCCAAGAGGCAGGTTAAGGGAAATGACTCGAACTCCGGCAAAGCAAAGGGATCCCTGGAGAGACGAGAACTTATTGGCAAGTCCCACCTCAAGCCTTCTTTGGGCCGGTGTTTCGGGTGTTGTTTTTGGAAGTGTTTCACAAGAGACCGGCTCTCACTTTTACTTTTTTGGTGGTAGGTTTCTTGTGGGTGAACTTTTAGGTGCCGTTTGGTAGGTGTTTTCTTTTGGCAGTGCAGCTTTTGTTGGATCCAAGGGTTTGACCGTTTTCTGGTCGGATCATCTCAGCAGATGAGGACAGGCAGGAGCCCATCAGAGCTCAAAACATGGAACTGGACATGACCAAACGATTGTTTACAGAACATGACAGAAAGCAGGGGGTTGCGATACTTAGACCCAGAGATGATGCGCCCTGTCTGCCGATAATTTGCTCGCGCAGGGACCCCCTACAACCAGACCGTTGTCTTTTTCCTCTTTCTTCCAACACTAATGCTGACCCCGAGTGGATGGTTCTAGAGCGACCGGCCCCAAACTGATGACACCCGTTCAGACCGAGGGCGTGTCTGGACGACTCAGGCGGTTGCACGCCTCCGGAAGGCGGCGGCGGTGCGCCTGTCAGGGCACGCGCACCTGGACGCCTTCGCCAAAAGCCTGCAGGAGGCCATGCGCCTCGGCCGCCAGCGGGAGAGGCGGCCGTGATTTTGCCCATGGCCCCGGTGGGGCGTCGGCTGAGAGTATGGACTTGAAGGTCTACGGCGCACGGGCTGGAAGGCTCTGATTTGGGGGGGGGTCGGCTGGGAGTGGTGCAGCCCTTTTTCAAGAGATGAATGGTTGAATGCTGCGAAACAACCTTGAGCGCTCATCAGGCTAGCCCGTGTTTGTCGGATACTCATTTGTTGGCTATTTTTCCTTGGGCTTCCCTCACCCGATGCGCCAGCCTCAAGCCGCCCAGGGAGGAGCTGCAAGTTCCTTTGGCCGACCGCGGCTTCAGGAAGAACTTCTCGCGGAATTACAAGATCCTCTTCCAGGCCACCCAAACTTGCGGAAAAAATGGTGAATGCTGCATGCCTTCGCCGTTGCGAGCTGAACAGCTCCGGTTTTGCCTCCGTTGTTCAATGTCGGTCTGCTTGCTTTCGTGATGCATTCTGCCTGGGAACCGGTTCAAGGGTTAGAGTCTCCCATGGGGTCAAAAGATGGAACGCTGGCTCCCCCCATTGCCTTCATTCCTGTCATCCCACCAAAAGGAAACTCACCCGAAGCTGCATAGAGCCTCATGCATGACAAGGGAACAGTACAAGGACGCATGGGCAATCGGGCCAACCTGGCCCATGAGTGTTGGGTAGAATTTGTTTGCAGTTGTTGTGTGTGCGGGCTTCTTGCATGTGTGGTTCAGCGGTCTCAAAACAGCCGAAAAGAAATTGGATCTTGGAAAGAGTGTTTCGCTTGGAAAGGGGGTAGGAGCTTGGCTTTGCAGAAAAAGGGTAGCTGGAGCGGTTAAAGGGGCTGAAAGAAGTTCTCTCATTAGCTTCTCGTGTTTGTGTTTGGTTGCCCGGATCTTGCGTTGAACACATGCATCATCCAACGCATTCTGTGGCATCAGAGAAGTGGTTGTGGGCTTTTGGGGCCTCATGGGCCTTGTTGGGGGCGAAAAAAGGTCATCCCACCAGCGCAAGCAGCAGGCAAACCCCAACGGCTACCGAGTCGAAGTCCTGGAATCGGTCCTGGATTTGTGCGCAGACATTTACGTCAATCGCCGCCCGGGCAGATGGCAGTTCCATTTGCGAGATCAGTCTATTGCGAAGGCCTTCTCTTCAAAAAGCCGTCAATATTATGGGTAAACTCATGTTTGGCTGTGCCCACCCGCAAATTTGGCCAGAATTTCGAGGCATATGTTTGTTCTGTGCAGGCTTGCTGGCTCACTTTTTGGCATCCGGAGTTGGATGCCGGGCCTTAAACAGACGAACTCGGGTTGTTTGGGGCTTTGATGGTGTGCCCCTGAGAGATGTGGCTTTGGGGTGTGTTTATTCACATATTGATGACAAGGAGCACTACAATCATGACAGGGATAGTAAGTGTGACATAGTTCTTCATTCAGACTCGATGTTTAGTCAAGGGAAGCACCCGTGCAGATTTGACCTTTGCGGGGCAGTAGGGGTCAGCTCAGGAAGGATGTGGTACATCTCGGGCCTGGCTATGCGAAAGGCCGGTGACGAGATTGAGATCCATGCCTGTGACTGGGTTGGACCGGGACCCCCTGTCAGGTTCAACATCAATTGGTGGGAGGGTATCCTTTGTTGGGAGCACAATCAAGCTGTGTTGGTGAGCAAAAACAACTAGACATGTTGCTCTGTTTGAAGCAGCTACATCTGCTCTTCGGGGAGAGGACCCGTTTTTGGACTATGATTTTCTTCTGCAAAGGGTGCTATGTGTATGACAAATGACGCTCAGTGTGCCGACTTTACGGGGCGCGCGGCTAGACGTTGCAACACAAAAGAAGGGCCAGCACCTGATCCCCGGCTCGTCCGGGCTGGGCGTATTCATCCCTTGGTTTAAGCTGGGTTTAGCTCCTTTAATGGCATTCCGTAGCTCTGGTTGCCGATCTATATGATACTTTGCTCTCTTACAACTCACGGCTGGAAGCCGAATTGCCATCATGTGAAGAGGCACCTTGTCAACTTCTATGATTTGGAAGAAACAGGTGTGTGATGTTTAGAATGTTCTCTTAGACAAGCCCCCAAGGCTTGTCAAAGCCCCCCTTCCCATGTTGCTCCGTTTGGAGGATTCTTCTTCTGGGGGGTTCTCGTCGCCAGGGCTACCTGCTGCAGCAGCGGCTCTCTCAGCTTTTCTCCCTGCTGGAAAAGGCGGGAGGTGTAAACTTGTGACGTTTCCCCTTGGCTCAAAGAAACTTCAGTTGTGTTCGGGTTGAACCACCTGTTGGGTGTTTGTGGTGGAAGCATCGCATGTCACCTGTCCAAAGGGTTGATCCCCCATTCTGTTCACCCATCGTTGTGCCCTGGCCTTGGCTCAGCACTCAAATGGAGGGCAAAGGCTGGATTCTCTTCCATGTAAAGCCCCAAACCCTAAAGACTGATACCCCAAGACCTCTTTTACCCTTTGGTTCCCCAAGCACCAAGAAAGGGCACTTTCTTCCCTCACCGGTTGAACGGGACAAACTGACTGACCAGGCAGACGACGAAAAGAGAGATGACCTGCGGCGGCTACTGGAGGATCTGGACCAGGCAGGGTCTGCCTTCATAGTGGCCGTCGAACGCCCAGCTCGGATACAGTTGCGTTACTTTTGCCTTCTTCTTTTTTGGTGAATGACTGTGGACCGCAGAAACCGGTATAGTCATGTAGGCGCTTCTCTTTTGTAGCGCTGCTCGGTTGCAGGTTTTTGGCTTGCCCCAATGCAACTTCGCCTAGGTTTGTGTCATGTTCCAGGTTCCGCCGTCGGGAAAGTTGGCGTTGTTTCTTTAGATGCGTAGCTCATCTTTTTCCTTTTGGGCTTACTCAAATTGTGTCGTGTTTTGTCATGAGAACCTGGGGACCGCATAGTCAGCTTGGGCAACTCGTTTGCGTCCTGCAAAAAGGCTCTGCTTGGCTTCCAGCTTGGGCGATTTCGCCGTTTGCAAATATCTTGCTGCACCCGTCCCATTCTT